AGCAATTTTTTTTAGTTTTAATGGCGTGGGCGGGCTGGGCCGTCAAGTAACATTTTTCTTTGCCGAGTGCCGCTCTTCCCCGAGTGTTGCACTCGGGGAAGAGGGCCTTTGCCGAGTGCCGCTCTTTATCGAGTGCTAGGCACTCTGTGGCATTCGGCAAAGCCTCTCTTCCCCGAGTGCTATTCTTCTCCGAGTGCAACACTCGGGGAAGATTGGCTTTGCCAAGTGCCCGATTTTTGGCACTCGGGGAAGCCTGCGACACTCTCGGGGAATTTTGCCTCTCCCGTAGTGATAGCTAGGTCTTAGGAATTAGGATAACTATTATACAATATCTGAAGACTCATATGTGTACTTTATTTATTAGAGGATCGGATCGGAGTTACAGCGGGTGAATTATTATCACTGGTCATTGAAATAAGCTCGATCGTATCAAATATTCTCGGTGCAACATTCAACTGCGTGCTGCATGCATACCAAAATGAAGACAGAAAAGCTAGCTAGGGACAAGTCGATCCAAGTTGACACCACGATCATAGAGAAACCTACCGACACCAAATTACTTATCAAAATTTGTAGCTTTACATCACCTTTCATATCACATCAGCAGCACAAGAATTTGGCTAATCGAACCATATGAAGGGTGTGAACCCCACACATTTTAGAAGGTGACTAGTTTCTGATTAAATAAAGTTAATGAAGTGTTTGGCCATCCCTTTCAGCTATCTCTTGCATGCTCCCCTTAGCTAGAAATTTCTCCATCCCCAATCTTGTGCCAATCAACAAAATATTCTAATACTACCCGGCCCTTATCTCTATTTCTAGTCACCAAACAAAGCCAACTGAAATTGGCCGGCTCTAATCAAGTTAATTAACCCAGTACTGCTTGGTCTAAGCTTCTTCCCATATGCCTGCCAGACAGGTCCCGCCATGCGTCACCAACTTGTCCTTTTATTAAAAGACTTATGCCTACCTGTACTTAAGCCACCAATTAACTAATCCTACACGCAACACATGACCCGAAGATGATGCAAGCCTAGATTTTAAGAATCGCCTCATGCAAAGGCCCAACTAAATAGTCTTCGAGAAAAGATGATGAAATCACAATTAAACTGCTGATAATATATAGCAGGCTGATGATTTGAATCATATACTGTATGTACTACTTAATGATGAATTCAACATGAATTAACAAGCAGAAAATAAAACGTTGGAGATGGAAAGGTCAGACGACGTGCATCTGTAGTTTTGTCAGCTATAGGCTTGTCGACTAGATCAACTGAGCTGGTGCTGCGTGGGGGTGTACATGCAGCCACATGACGACATTGACGATTAGGTTAATCTTTTGCGTTAGCCATTAAACTAAGCTAGTTGCTTGTCTGGAGACATCCTATCAAATCCTTTCTACATGCCTCCCGTACGATCATGGATTATTTTAATGCCTGATGCTTTGCCAAATGAAGTGACTCCATAATGACCCATGTAGGGCATAATATAATTTTATTAGCTTAGACTAGGGTTAACCCCAGTTCGTAGCTAACCTAGCCTAGTCCACTTGGATATATGATCTGAATGCGATGCGAGTTTGATAAGCAACAGCCCGTCGACGCGACATATTGGTCTAGTATTAGTTAGTGATGAGGAGTTAGGGATATATACATTAATTCAATTCGTTGCAGGCTTGCTTTGTATAAATAATAATAAGTTATGCAAGAGTAAAGTTGTCGTTGATCGGAGGGTGTGTATGTACACATACATACTTGTACTATAGGAATTCAATAAGGAAAGCCGGCCAATGTTATGCGCATGCACGTAACCACCGATGATTAACCTATGTCAAATTTATCACCGACAATTGTGCCTTACTTATAATACGGTCTCCAGGGGCGGGGAACGGGGGTGGAAAGAGGGGACCAACGAGACCGCGCGCATGCCGCTAGCTAGTGGGGCAAATAGAAAACTCGCCAAATAAAAAAGCAGGTAATCCCTCATTACTATATGTGTGATACGAATCTTAGGATGATCTATCATCATCACCTCCTGAGCTAGGGGGTCACTCCATCCACTGTGCACATGTTGACTCGCTAATCCTTGTTAATTTAGGTACGGTTCCAGGGATTAACAAAAATTATCAGTTGAGCGAGCCCTCGCTCTGCTCTCTAGTCCTCTAGTCGCATGTAGCAGTAATCAAAAACCCCCCCTAGCCCTAGCGTAAAGCGCAGGCGGATCCTATTGGCATGCACGACGGCTGCCTTTCGTACGTGGCTGCTCTGCTACCGCCGATGCAGCCAATGGGAGCGCGGGGAGTACAGCCACGTGTTGAGACCCCGTTGGCTGGGACTGTCCAACCCCGGCGCGAAACGTGGACGCCGGGTTTTGGATGCATGCGGAGCCTACGTGGCCCGGGCCGGGCCGGTCTAGAACGCCGTGAGGCCCGGCGCGATCTCGATGCACGGATCCGCCGGACATTACCATAAAAAGAAAATTCTGTCACTTCTGTTCACGGCACTGTTTTTACGTACTGTACTAATTGGAAGGACTCGTACTAGCTCGTTTATCTATTAATTACCTATCTCGTCCGTCACTCAGTCAGTGCTCATCTACCGGAATGGCAGAAGCAGGTCAGGCCTTAGATAAATATTTCAAGCTCTATGCATGGTGCCTGCTAAATTGTAAGGACCTATCTAGGTGATATTTAGTTGTTTTTTTGGCTCTTCTTGTCAACTGATTTTTCCCATATATTTATATCGTCTTCTAACTATATTTACACTGTCTTATTACTATATTTATAATTATTTCTCCGGTATAATTTATTAGACACAGTGGTGTAATTTGGGGACAATACAAATTTATGCCAAAATTTTCAGAAAAAATTATAAATTATTTCTATGAATTGCAAATATTAGAAAAATATATGTCAAATTATTTACAAATTTATTACAAATTTCAGAAAAAATACAAATTGTTCACAAATCATGGTGAGACTCACCCGCCGAACCTTGTCCCTTCCCTTCTCGGTTCCCTTCCGTAGTCGCACAAAACCGATGGCGCAGCGCCGCAGCGGCCTTCCCAGCCCCGGCGCGCGCGACCTTTCTACTCTGGTGACCCTGCTCCTTCCCGCCCTGGCGCCGCGGCGCCCCTCTCCTTCCCCGCCCCGGCTCCCGCGCAGCGGCGCCCCTGCCTCTCCTTCTCGGCGGCGCCCCTGCCTCTCCTTCTCGGCCCAGACGCTAGCGGCGCCCCTGCCTCTCCTTCCACGCTCAGGTGCCCGCGCGGCGGCGCCCCCTTGCTGGCCGTCCGTGCAAGATCCGATGGCCCAAAAGTCCGTTAATAGGAGGGGCCAAATCAATCAGTTGAGATTTATAGCAATATACTCAAATGTAAAGCTGGCAAGAACCGATGGATCATGCAAAGGCTCGTGCATGGTCGTCCAGCAGTACTACAGTGCCCTAGCTAGGGCTCCTGTAGCTGTAGTTCCGGGTTGTCGACACGTAAGCCCCAACAGTGAAGGGACATGCTGCACCACGCCGCGTACGTACACCGAGCATGCCTGTCACTTCAATCGATCTCTGCAAGGCAAGTACACGGAACACAGTGGCGCATGCATGCTTTTCTGGTCCCGATCGACGAGTACCCGCCGGATCGGCCGGAACGCCACCCACCATACGCAAACCTCTCTCTGTTGACTGGTCACTGGTGCGCGCACTCGCTCCGACGAGACGACGCCTCCTCGCCGATCGCCGTGCGCCCGGCCGTGCCAGGTGCTGCCGCGTCCAAATCCAAACCCAATCACGCGGGCGCACGCACGAGAACGACCCGGCGGTAGCAATCCGGCATGTGTTGCACATCTCACATATATATACTGACACAGCGTGCTGACTCACTCACTGACGACGTGAGGAGGCACGCAGGCAGCAGCACACAGGGTCATCAGCAGCCGCGTCTGCGGATGTCGTGTACTACTCTATCACCAGCTAGCTAGCTAACCCCAGGGGTAACCATCAGTAGAAAAGCAGCTTTGCAGTGGTAGTTAATTAATTGCCAAAGAAGAAATGGTTGGGAGGGGGGCGTGATCTCCTTTTTGGTAACATGCGTTGATGCATGTTGATTTTGGAGGGTTAAAATATGCTTAGCCCCTTAGTTAACTAGTTGAAGGAAACAGATAAAGTGACAAAGTCTATATACGGTGGCATCACAAAGGCAAGAGGAAAATGACTCATGGAGCACAGTGGGGCTGTTTGGATTGAACCCTGGAGAAGTTTGCGGAGGGACCCTGGGAGCTGACTGGACCATGTTTGGTTGGGATACTGAGAAGACGCCTGTTCCAGGCACAGGCACCTCCGCCAGGCACATGAAATCGGTCGCCTGGGCTCCAGGCTACCTGCGTAACCAGCTTTTCTTCTGCTACCAGGTAGAAGGCAGCAGCAGCTGGCCTGGAGAGAGAGAGAGGTTTATGCATGTTCAACTTCAACCTATATACAAAAATATAACTCTCATTCCCATCACATCGCCTAGATCAGCTAACCAAATCAAACACGGCCTCATTCATCACTGATTTTTAACTACTAAATAATTTATAATCTTACTAGTAGTAGCTGGCCGGGTTAATACAGCAGCAACCAAAGAAAAAATGGGCGGCATGCATAGTACTGAAGAAAATGGCAGAGAGATTGACTGATGGATGGATGGATCAACCAAAAATTTACAGGGTCTGCCCAGCATGGCCATCCTCCTTGAGATCATCATCATGCACATCAATTAGCTAGAACCGGAATCTTACAGGTGGCTTACATGCATGCAGCTCTCCAAATCCCAGCAACTAAACATTATAATTACTAGCGCTAATTACCTAGCCAGGGACGATCGATCGATCTTAGTACAGACTTTTTAGTAGTAGCAGCAGCAGTAGTACTAGTAGGTGATCAATTCTCTTTTACCAAGGCGACGACAGTGCGTGGCAGCAGCTCGCTCGCGCGCGCGATCTCCATTGACGACGACCAGCCAAGTCACAAGCCGGCGGGCGCAAGGCTGAGCTGCAGGTCCAGCCCCAGGGCGTCCTCCGGCCCGGTGACCACGGGCTCCGCCACCACCGCCATCCCAGGGCCAGCGGCCATGCCGGGGTATCTCCCGCGGGCGGCCGCCGGGCTCACGTGGACCCTCCGCCCGCTGTGGTCGTCGGTCACGTAGGGCGCCGAGGCGGCGCCGGCGGCGGAGGGCGCAGCGGTGTAGGAGAACACGGCCGGCGACGCCGTCACGGCGGCGGCCGGGGTGGTGCGCGACGGGAACACACAGTTGTGGGAGACGTGGAACTGCTGGCCCTGCGGGCCCCCGGCCACGCCGGCGGCGCGCGGGGAGAAGTAGACCCAGCTCGTGGGCGCCGTGTCGCCGCCGCCGCCGAGGAGGTGCGTCGGCGGCACGAAGGCGGACACCATCGGGTTGGCGCGCGGGTAGAGCGCGGCGGCCCCGCCCGCGACGCGGCCAGCGGCCGCGGCCGCGGCCTGCAGCTGCGCGCGCTTGAGCTGCTGCCGCTCCTTCTTGTGCGCGTTCTGGTGGCCGCCCAGCGCCTGCGAGTTGGCGAACTCGCGGCAGCAGTACTGGCACTCGTACCTCCGCCCGTCACCAGCTGCCGTGGCCGTGGCCGTGGTCGTGGTGGTAGACGAGGACGACGAGTCAGACCCTCCGCCACCGTTACCGCAAGCCGGCGCCTCCTCCGGCTCGGCTTCCGCCGCCTCCGTCTCCCGGGCCGCCAGCTCGTGCCTCTCCTCGGAGACGTGGAAGCCGAAGAGCTTTAGCCTGGGGCTAGTCATGTTCATGACTGCTCTGGTAGTACTTGCAGCAGCTGCAGCTAGCAGGAGAGATGGAGAGAGGAGGCAAGTAGTGGAAGTGGCTGTCAAAGCTGGAGGAGGTGCATGGGTTAGAGGGAGCTGCATGTGTCAGGTGAGAAGGGGCAGTATATATAAGACCTGGAGCCTGGAGCTTGGAGCTTGCTGGAGGCACACAGCACACCCGAGTGGATATAATCAGCTCTGCTCAACGAGTCATTTGAATACAGTAACATGCATGAACAGAGGCTCCAGATATTATAACCCTTGCGGTGGCTGTGTTTCCTCTCCAGTAGTGCTAGCACCTTTCTTGCTCGAATTCTTTAATTGCCCCCCCCTGCACTTTAGAGACAGAAGGACGATCGATCGGTGCAACTGCATCTGCAAAGAGAGGGAGAGAGAGAGAGAGAGAGTAGCTGCTGTTACTGTGAACAGGAGAAGCAGGGAATTCACAAAAGACAGCGTTGAGGTCTAGATTGCGCTTGTCCGGGCTCCATGTTGCGGAGTATTCTAAGTGCGTGGTCTCCTCGTTGGTTTCTGACGATCGACACTTGCACCACCGGGTGGTTTATACTAAGAAAACCTCAGCTCCTAATTAATCAGCTAGCTAGCTAGATTGGTGAGGATGAGCTAGGTAGACTGATTGAGTGGCCAACTAATACGTACTAGGGACGGATTAGTTTACTCGGCCTGATCGCCGCGGGATATGGATGCTCAGTTGCGTTGTTTATCATATGCGTACGTACGTAATGCGATACTTTTTTGCCCTGACAGCGCCGTGGTGTTGTGTAGAGATGAGGCAAGGCATTACAATAATGCAGGCTCCTTTGGTGTTATATATAGATATAGATGTATATATATATAATAACTATATATATTTCTATGTATGTCTGTGTACTATATATAGCCTGATCGATTATATTGGCATTGTTCATGTACTATGTAGAAAGAGACGATGGGGACCATATGCAGGCATGTGCAGGAGCTAAGTGCCACCCACTTAGCTTGTTCTTGATTAGAGTAGCTTAGTTGTAATTATTTTCTAGTACAGTGTAAAGTTGCAAAGCTCATGTGTGGGAGATGCAGAAGTTCATGACACTATATATATACTACTATTAAAGTTCTCTTTAGTAACATCTATACAAAATTGGCTGTGTATTTGTCTTTCTTAGGGCCTCCTTGGCACGGCTTATGCCGGCTTCGGCTTCATCTATTTTACGCAAATCGAGGCACTGTAGCGTGAAGCCATTTTGTAAGTCGGGGTTAAAATAAACTAGAAGCCGGAAAAAGCCAGTTTTTCTGGCTTCACTGGCTTTGGCTTCACCGGTGAAGCCGTTTTGGATGAGTCGTGCCAAAGGGGCTTTAAAGTGTATCATGCTGGAAATATACGCAAATGTACATCCCATCACCCGACCCATTTTGTTCCCTTGTGTGTGGGGCTTTTCTATCATGATGATGGAGCGACATGCATGACCTCGGCAAAGAATCCCTTTGTAGCAGTCCCATCACTGGAACCATTATTGAGTTCTTGCAATGCAAAATTCTTATATACTTCAGCAAGAAAAGAACCCTAGAACATGACATTTTTTAAAGAAAAAACAGAATGGACCAGCACCTACTCCTATCTATGTATTTTTACACTAATTGAATGGTAATTCCCATCACTGGAACCATTATTGTGTTCTTGCAATGCAAATTCTTATATACTTCAGCAACAAAAGAACCCTAGAACATGACATTTTTTAAAGAAAAAACAGAATGGACCAGCACCGCCGCCTACTCCTATGTATGTATTTTTACACTAATTGAATGGTAATTTGCATGTATGATGTATTATGTATATATATACATTCGCATTCATGTACGGCAAAAGTTAGCGTACAACTAGTATAACTAGACCGAAGGAATAAACCATATTCATACTACTGTCAGTGGAAAGACCTCTCTATGGTCAATCCATAATAGCGGCGTAGTGCTCAGTTAATGATTCTAATCATGCCAGAATATCTTTGGAGATATCATCGGGCCGGTAAGACATGGAATAAGAATTCTTTTTCCACACACACGCCTAGTTAAGACTAGCTAATACTACTTTTACAGCAAAATATACGGTAATAATACACAAAATCCGTATACTATGGACCTCAAAATCCAAATTCCATTTTCACAAAGCGTTCACTCAGTTTCCAATCCAGCGAACGATCCGACCGAACGAGCACTCTCCGCCATATGTCCATGCCGCTCGTTGCTCCTTCTCCTGTAAATTAAACCTTCCGTTGTTATGTATCTCTCCCTTGCCTCTTTCTATTACGTGGAGCGGAGGCTGCTGAGCCGTTCGAGTCTGACGTGCGCGAGTGCTCGCACACTAATCGCAGGTGCGCCCATCTTTCTCCCTTTTTATTTTCTACTTTTTTTCCTTTACCTTTTTTATCTTTTATACATTAACCTATCTATTTTACATGATCATATATGTATTCATATACTAGTTGTATACATATAATATAAAATAGTGCACCACATTTTTTTTCTTTTTCACCATTTGTCTCTCTTCTTTCATTTTTTCTCTTCTTCCGATCTAATTGAACCTTATGATCACAAATCTACAAAAGTTACAATGAGAAGTTATGATGATATTTGTCACGTAAAACGCTATGTACATAAGTTGTGAGTATAACTTTGTTATTTTCTAAAAATAAAAAGTTATGATTTTTTCCAAAAAAAAAAGTAAAAAAATTATGATGATATGTTGTTTCGTAAAACGTTTCCAACAATGAAAAGTTATGGAAATATTTTTTCCAAAAAATTAAAAGTTATGATGAAAAATTATGATGATAAGTTGTTACGTGAAAACTTATGCATACCAGTTATTTATATATATATATATATATGTATATATATATGTATATATATATATATATAATTTTGTAACTTTTCAAAAAAGAAAAAAATGCAGGAATGATTTTTTTTCTAGAAAAGAAAATTGTGTTGGTAAGTTATGTTTCACAAAATAATATATATAAAAGTTATGTGCATAACTTTGCAACTTTCTAAGAAAATGTGGTGACAAATTTTACACAAGAAGTTATACGTAAAAGTTGTGTGTATAACTTTGTAATTTTTCAAAAAGGAAAGTTGCAGAAATAATTTTTTTCCCAAAAAGAAAAGTTGCTAGGCTGGTGTGGGATCGCTGATTAGCTAGGTCATCGAAGAACCAGGGTTGTCCAAATAGGGAAAGAGGTGGAAATTAGTTTTTTTTCTAAAAAAAATAAAACTCATGGGACGTGTCGGATTGATCGTTGATCTAGAAATGAGTGAAAGTTCGCTAATTAGTGGGGTCACCTCAAAATCCCTATGATATGGAACTAATAAATAAATAAATTATCAATTAAAAGTTTGCCCTAATTAATGAAGCAAAATATCCTTAACTAATTTCACACAGAGAAATAATTCACAAGAAAGATTTAGTTAAAAAACGAAAAGCATTTACTATAAAATTTAACAACAAGCTCAAATCCTAAAGGTCGTCACCACCATTGCTTAATTAGTAGTGCATGACCAATTGGCCATGAAACAACAACTGGTGTCATCAGCCACAGGAGGCAATGATGATGTAAGAATATAAGATCCGACAGAAACGTTTTCACACAACAATACTCCTATATATATTGCTTACACCGGTGTAGAGTACCACGTAGGACTAGGACTAAGCACGGTAAAACGATATCTTCACTAAGGCTACTGATAGTACTGTAAACCTACAAGGATACTACAACTCTTCACCAAGCCTAACGTAGTTATAGATATACTACTGCTGCACGTTGATGCAACTAGTAGTAGCTTTATAATCACCCTCCCCTACTCAGTCATAACTTAGAGCATGTTTGATATCACTCGGCTGGATGTGACTCCCACACCACAGAGGCCGGAGCCGAAGCGAAAAAAAAAAACATAGCTCCACCATCGTATAACGTCGTACCGTTAAAATAGCTCTGGCTCCTCCCTTGTTATCCCAAGAAGCGCTTCTTCCCCTCGGTTGTTTGATGCGGTTAGTTCCAGCTCCTCGTCGGTGCAGGAGCTAGAGCTAGAGCTAGAGCTAGAGCAGCACCAAATAGGCTCTTACTAAGTACAAACCCACCAACATGGCACCTAGAACTAATTTGCTAGCTATTTGATGTTTATGTAATCTTCATATATAACACAAGAATTCACTCATATAGTAGTTCCACACTATCCAATAAAACACAGGTTCCATTTGTCAGCTTTTCTATTATTATTATAAACCATTAAATATAAATCTTATCTCTTCTTCTCAAGCCACATCTTCTCTCGGTATCCAATAGCTAGCTCTTGTTTGCCCTTGCCGCCCCTCTTACCGAGCTCAGCACCACGTTGCCTTCCCCACATTTGCATTGCTAGCTGGCGTGACTCCCTCTCACCATCGGGATGGTGAAAGGTTCTTGTTTGGTTTTGGTAATTGAGTGACAACCTAGGTGGACTAATATGTGTTTATGTGAGATACACAGGTGATTAGTCCACAAGTAAATGTGTGTGAGCAACATATGCCATGACGGTGAAGATAGCTTGGATATGTTGCAAGGCTCACACATGTGATGAAGGAGCTCATTGCATATGAGACATGACATTGAGTCATGTGACTAAGGTGGAGAAGATCAAGACAAGACTTGACTTGATGGACCGGTTGCAAGCGTGAAGGGCAAGTTGGAGGCTTTGGAGCGATGGACCATTTGGCGGTGAAGCTTGAGCAAGACTTGGCGCCGATAGACGAAGGCAACGGTGAAAAGCAAGTGAGGTCAAGATCGATGAACCAATACGGTCACGTGATGATATGAAGTGGATCATATCATTTGGTGATTGGTTGGTGCATGTGTTGCATCAACAATGGAGGAGTTGGAATGGAATGCGCAAGGCAAAGGTATAACCTAGGGCATTTCATTTCACCGGTCATAGGTTGTGTAGAGAAGTGCTTGACC